AAGCAACCCCATCTCTTCTTCTTTGACCATACTTTGATCTTTTCTGTAGAAGTGTGCTGGTGAGGACTCTATGAACATATCTTATAGCTGAATGGCGGATGCTAGCACTCTTCAGATGAACAGCTCTATAAGCATCATTCGCTATCTCCTCCCATACATGCCTTAGCTCATCATGCTTGAAGCGCATGTTTTGTGCTCTTGAGCCTTGATCAAATCGAAAGATTTCTTCAAGCTGATTGAACCCCATGGTGTACCATGCTTTGTTGGCTCTGAACTTGATGAATCCATTGCCAAAGTCTTCTTCTCCTTCATCATACTCTTCATCAAACTTGTTGAAGTAGACCTTGAAGCTTGCAAGGAACTCTCAAGAAAGTTGGTTGTAAGTTGGATAGCCAAGACTAGCAAATTTCTCCAGTCCAATGTTGCTCAACAGCTCATCCACTTCAGGCTTGATTCCTAGCTCTCCCAACAGACCAGGATCAGCATATCTTGTAGGAGTGAAGTCCACTCTCCTCATCGCTCTCAAGTAATCCTTTAACTTTGGTGCTGCATCTTGGACTGGTTCTTCTTCAACAACTGGCCTTTTTCCCCAAGTTCTGTTTTTTCCATCAACATTTGAGTCAGAAATCTCCTCATTTCCCCTAGTGTTCAACATAGTACCTGAAAACGCAATGCTTGAAGCAAGTTAGTATACTATCATTTGAGAGCACTGTGCAGAAAATTAATTTTCAAAATTCACGCAAGAAATGAAAAATTCTGCAACAATTCACACTGATCACTAACAAACAGAGTCAAATTTAACAAAACGTTTCAGCTCAAAAGGATAAATACAGATAAAACTAAAATTCCCACAGTAGCAAGCAGCGATTGCAACAATTTCAAACATATGAAGCCAAAAACATCATTCTCTCTCCACCAAACTACGAAAATACATCAGATTCACCATCACTAGTCTAATAAGAAACATTTCAATGGTCAATATGCTGGAAAAACAATAACATGCCTAAATTTGGCCAAAATCTAAACATAAAGTCAAACTAAGCACAAAAACAGCATTTTTCTAGCCCTAAGAGAATCATCTAGCTGTAGTGAACTATCACTTTGGTGTCACAGAACAAAGGAAACATAGACCAAGCTAGACTGTAAAGCCAAATAAGCGAACCATGCTTAGAAAAGAGATATCAAGACATCAAGCGAAACATATACATCTATCGAACCATATTAATCAAAAGGAACAAGCTTTATCAACATTAATCACTTTGCAAGAGAAGAAGATAACAGAGAACCATTAAACAAGGCTAATAACCCCTTAATACATCTTAATCACCACTTTTCCTACTTAAAACCCTAAATCTAAGGAGGACTAGTCACTAATCATGTTTAATCCCATTGATTTAGAGTTAAACATAACTAGATGAGGTTAAAATGCAAAGATGATAAATCTAATCTACTAAGATGCAAGAACAAAGATTAAAAGACAAGATTAAACCATAAAAATACAAAATTTATAAAAGATAAAGATCCTTAAGGCATATCGCCCTTTAAGCTTTAGAGAGAGTTTTTGATAGAAAGCTAAACTTTGATAAGATAGAACTTGATAAAGATAATATTTTGTGGCTTCTCTTTTATAGTAGGAAGCCAAAAGAAGCATAAAAAACCTAAAAAGAGAGGATAAGGTTAACAAAAGTCAAATGGTCAACGCGGATGAGTTGCATCGAGGTCGTACGGTCGATGTTCTACTCGATATGCGACCTCGATAACGTCCGTGCGGCGTGTATCAACGTCCTTCCTCGATGCTGGTCCTCGATGCATACCAACGGCTTGGAATCCTCGTGCTGATCCTTTTCCTCTCGTCCTGCTGCTTGCATCGAGCACACTCCACATGTGTTCTGCTCGATATGCTTTCTCGATATGGACCAGACTTTGCAAGAACCCCATTTTTGATGCAAAAATAGAGGAAAAGATGCATGAAATACAGCCTAAAATGATGTAAAATAGCAAGCTATCATTAGGTCCTGCTTGTTGTAAAGCTTTTCTAGAAGCTGAAGCCAAGTGCATACCAAAACTTCCGTTCATTCCAGTTTTTCTTCCTCTGCTAAAGCAACAATTCTCCCGAATCGCTGGTCCTCCAACAACACTGTAGAAAATTAAAACTAAAATTATTGGTTATGTGAAATACTATTTTGATATTAGGATTATTTCTACAATTTTAAGGAACAATAATACCATAACTAACGATCTTATAATTAATATTCATGTTCCGTTGTTATATTTCAGTTATAAAATTTCTTAAATATTTAAAATATCTGTAATAATAAATATTATTAAAATTAAAAAATCTAACAAGTAGACAGCGGTATCATTTGATTAATGAAGGTGTCTTGAATAAATGTATCATTATTTGATCGACTAATAAATTATTTATTTTCTTATGTTTAATGAATCACACATTAGAAATCTTGAAATGATTTCAAAGGTTTCATATTAGATATTTATTATGTTATATCTCATTATTTCACATCTCAAAAGCTGTCCATGAAGAATATATAACTTCTTCGTTCTATTCATCATTTATAAAATGGTCTACTCATTAAAATACAATAAAATGATTCAAAGGGTTGTTTTGAAATTACTTTCTTAATTCTTTTAACTGAAAAAAATAAATTGGTCTATTCTCGCATTTTTTCCTTGTAAATGTATAATTTTCAATATTAAAATCTTTTTTTAGAATATTGTAGATAATTAGTTTATTAATAAATTAGGCTTCCAAATACATTTTAACTTTAATAAAAAAATAATCATATTTAAGCTATTTCCTTTAATATATATATTGATAAATTTATTTACTTATTAACTTATGATATTATTGAGATAATAAATTTAAATTTAAATTTGTTAAAAAATACATTATGTTTTATTAAATTTTGATAATTTTTACACAAGACCATCTAATGACGTAAAATTTTATTTAAATATATTTATTATTCTACAAATCACAAAGGTTATAAAATTCTTATATTTATGAATAAGATAAATGTTATATATTAAGATGATGCTGAATTTAAGAGGGCCAAAATAATCAAATTATTTTGAGAAAACTAGATGAGTATCCGCGCGATGCGCGGAATATTTTTTCATAATATAATTTGTTAAAAAGTGTAGTTACAATTTATTTTATCATATATTTAAATTATTTTTAAGGATGCTGTGTATTTGAATAAACATATAATATGTATTTACATATTATGTAGATATTAACTAAATATGTGATAAATGGTTTATTGATAAAGAAATATGAAATATGTTATACTTTATATATATAGAATATATTAAATTGATATACTGCAAATCAGAGAAGTACTATATAACAAAAATTAATTAGAAAAACTCTTCAAACACAACATAGATAGAGATGATTTTTTTTAACATATCGTATTTGTTCACGGCGCAGATTTACACAATAACAGCGCCATCGTTTTATATTTTTATGAGCTTAAATAATTGATTTATAATTCTAATTTATACAGCTGCATTAAATATTTTATAAATAAATATTTTAGGACTTTGATATCTTACAAATTTAAAAATTACTAATGGATCCAGTTTGAATAAAATAAATTATCAAATAATTATTAGTTTATAAAGAAATTATTTTAAAGTTTATTATAATATTGTATAAATTTTTCTTCTAGCTTTTTAAGGTTCAAAATATCAAATAATTGTTATTTTTATATTTCTATAATTTTGTTTTATAATAATAACTTATAATATTAATTAAAAATAAGAAAACACTCTTAAATATAAAACATAAATTTTGTTAATGATTTTTAAAAATTACCACAAAATTGATATTCAATAATTGTTTTTAGATATTAAGTATATATTGTTATTAAAATATATTATCAAATTCTTCAAAATTTTTATATTCTTTTAGTATTTATAATTTATAATACATTAAATTTATGCATTAACTGTATTTTACATAATTTGTATCATTAAATTTTAAGAAATGACACATGTCATTTCCACAATAAACCAAAATGATGAGGTGGCACTCATATGGAGAGAGTTGGCCATCTTTTATAGTATAGATAATTATTTTGGCACGAACCAAACTGATATTTTAGATTTGTTTTTGCCCATCATTACTTGGTTATATTTCATGACATTATTACAAGTTATTAAAACTAAATTTCATACATGAAACATAAATCATATTAACATTGTACAAAAGCATTCAAAAAGAAAACAAAAAATTCATATATAGCCCCTTCAATGTGTTTTATCAATGCATGATTAAACGTTATTTACTATTTTTAAATGTTCATTAATTTGCAAATTTAAAACAGCAATTGAGTAAAATTATAACTCATATACACTTGGATATTAAAACTGTATTCCGATTAATATCTGTACTTCAGTTTTTTCTCCTATAAGAAAGCTAATATTTTCATTTCATGAAACGAAAACATACTTAACAAAACTCGTATTAGTAGAATTCTTCCCTATTTCAATAGTCTCCAACATATTTATCATGTTGGTCAAAAGTGTATTTTTTCTTCTATTGAATATATGCATATCAGTTTCCGTGAATGCTCAGCAACCGTAATTTTCACCTCCATCTCTATTTCTGTTTTCATTACAACCGATGCCAGGAATGCCCGACATCACCAAATGTTTGTCAACATTGATGAATATTCCAGGATGCTTTGCAGAGATCTCTCAGTCTATACTAACCGGCAGATTTGGCAACCTAGGTTCTGCTTGTTGTAAAGCTTTTCAAGAAGCTGAAGCCAACTGCATACCAAAACTTCCGTTCATTCCAGTTTTTCCTCCTCTGCAAAAGCAACAATGCTCCTGAATCGCTGGTCCTCCAACAACACTGTAGAAAATTAAAACTAAAATTATTAGTTATGTGAAATGCTATTTTGATATTAGGTTTATTTCTACAATTTTATGGAACAATAATACCATAACTAACAATCTTATAATGAATATACATGTTCCATTGTTATATGTCAGTTAGTTATAAAATTTCTTAAATATTTAAAATATCTGTAATAATTTATATTATTAAAATTAAATAATCTAACTAGCAAACAGCGGTATCATTTGATTAATGAAGGTGTCTTGAATAGATGTATCATTATTTGATCGATTAACAAATTATTTAAATTTTTGTATGTTTAATGAATCACACATTAGAAATCTTGAAATGATTTCAAAGGTTTCATATTCGATATTTATTATGTTATGTCTTATTATTTCACATCTCAAAACCTGTCCATGATATTGAAGAATTGATAGCTTGCTATTTTAGATCATTTTAGGCTGCATTTCATGCATCTTTTCTTCTGTTTTTGCATTATGGTTTAGCATTTTAGTATCATTTGCACTTAGAATCAACATGGCATGCATTTAGCTTAGGGTTGCATACATCTGCATACATGTGCATGTTTGTGGTGGTTTTCAGGTGTTTTTGGAGTTTCTTGGAGTTGGGAAGGAGATGGAAGCAGCTCGTGATTAAAGAAGATGTCAGAAATGGAGTTTTTGCAAAGTCTGGTCCATATCGAGCAAGCATATCGAGCAGAACACCTGTGGAGTATGCTCGATGCAAGCAGCAGGACAAGAGAAAGAGGATCAGCACGAGGATTCCAAGCTGCTGGTCTGCATCGAGGATCAGCATCGAGGAAGGAAGCCGATACGCGCTGCACGGACCATATCGAGCAAAACATCGTCCGTACGACCTCGATGCAACTTATCCGCGTTGACCGCTTGAGTTTTGTTATCCTTATCCCATTTTATAAGGTTTTTTATGCTTCTTTTGGCTTCCTACTATAAAAGGGAAGCCACAAAATATTATTTTTATCCAAATTTAGCTTTCTATCAAAAACTCTCTCTTCTCTAAACCTTAAAGGGCGATTTGCCTAAAGGATCTTAATCTTTAATCAAGTTTGCATTTTTATGGTTTAATCTTGTCTCTTACTCTTTGTTCTTGCACCCTGGTAGTTTAGATTTATCATCTTTGCATTTTAACCTCATCTAGTTATGTTTAACTCCAAATCAATGGGATTAAACATGATTAGTGAGTAGTTTACTTTGGAGTTAGGGTTCTAAGTAGAGAAAATGGTGATTAAGATGTGATTAAGGGGTGATTAGGCTTATTTAACTATTCTCTGTTGTCTCCTTCTCTTGAAAAATGGTTATTGTTCATAAAGTTTGCTCCTTTTGATTGAATATGGTATTGATTGATGCATATGGTTCACTAAATGGCTTGTTATCTCATCTATAAGTATGATTCGCTTATTTGGCTTTATAGTTTGGCTTGGTCTATGTTTTCCTTTGTTCAGTGACACCAAATTGATAGTTCACCATTGCTAGATGATTCGCTTAGGGCTAGATAATGCTGGTTTTGAGATTCTTGCTTGATGGTTAGATAGTATGCTTTAAAAGATCTTTCCTTTGTTTCATTCCTATTCATTGCTCAGCATTGTTAGGATGTTGCAGCTGTGTGCTTAAACCCATATTCTTGATTGGTGTTTAGCTAACTATGTCCTTATTGGTTCACAAGATTGTTAAGTTGATCTGAATTCTTGCTTGGGTGAGAGAATGATTGTTTGATTAGTACATCTCTTAGGCTATAATGGTTCTGATCTTTATGCTCATGGTTGAAGGATACGCCATCACAAGTGGGTCCGACACTTCAATCTTGTTGAATATGAACTGCTTGTTGACGCCAAGCTGGTTCCTTTTAGATACCTTGTCTAGGAGTACAACATTGAGAATTGCTTGCCTTTGAATGCTTGATGTTTGCCTTTGTTAGAAGTTCCCATTTTCACTCTTGAAAACCACTATCCCATAATTGCTTAGAACCTTGAGTCTTGCTTTTAATTGATTGTCTTTAAGATCATCTTTCTTAGTTCTTGTTTAGTCATTACCTTAAGTTCATTGCTTAGTTTTGTTAACTTGCATTTAGTTTATGCTTTATATCCATTGCATTGCTAGGTTGTTAGAGTTGTCCTTGTTCAATCAAAACCCCATCATTGCTTAGCTTATGGCATTGTTTGCATCTCATCTCCCTCAAATGGATTGATACCTGATCCATATTCTACAACTAATTAGAGGCAGGACATTTGATCTAGTGAGACAAAAACCGCTCTTTCAAATTGGCGCCGTTGCCATTTGTGGATTGTTTGAGTTTAACATTGCTGTTAGACTAAGTTCTTTACTTTAAAAGTTACTAATTTGATCTGTTTTCTGTGCTTTGTTTTTTCAGGTACTTGTATGAATTTGAGGTCTAAAGGCTCATCAAATCTGACTCCTTTCTTTGATAACATTCACGGAGAAGAGCTGTAAGACAGAGAGTTCAAGAGATATAAGAACAGAGGATGGCAGAGCAAGAAGCTCAATTACCACATGTTGGTATTGTTGGACAAGCATCATTACAACAAGCTGCAGCACACATAGATGAAGCACAAGAAGCTTTGAACTAAGCGGCTGGAGCTCAGGGATTGCGAGTACAAGTTCACGCACCTAGAGCTGCAAGACCAATAGGATCTGTTGATGCGCCTGGTACTCACCACAACAGGAATGGCATTCACGCTCCAGCTGTACATCAAAACCACTTCGAGATCAAGCTTGGGTTGATCAACATGGTGCAAGGCAACAAATTCCATGGCCTGCCCAATAAAGACCCTTTGGATCATCTTGACCAGTTTGATAAGGTGTGTGGTATGACCAAGATTCAAGGAGTCTCTAAGATTCTTTGAAGCTGTGCTTGTTCCCTTTCAGTTTAGGTGACAAAGCACATCAGTGGGAGAAGACACTTCCACAAGGCTCTATATCTACTTGGGATGAATGTAAGACAGCTTTCCTCGACAAATTTTTCAGCTCCACCAGAACATCAAAGCTGAGGAACACCATAAGCATTTTCACTCAGCATGGGAATGAGACATTCGCTGAAGCTTGGGAGCGGTTTAAGACTTACATTTTGCAGTGCCCACACCATGCTTCACAAATGAAAGCTTGCTGTCTACTTTGTATAGAGGAGTGACGCCAAAGTACAGGATGCTCTTGGATACAGCATCAAATAGAAATTTCATGGGCAATACTGTTATAGATGGTCGAGCTCTTGTGGAGAACTTGACACTTTCTGATGGAAACTATGGTGAAGAATATGACAGAATATCTAGAGCTGTTGTAAGCACTGAAGGTGAGAGCACAACAAAGAAGGAGATTAAAGCTTTGAATGACAAGTTAGACAAGATGCTGAGTGTGTCTTTCAAGAATGTCAGTTTTGTTGGTGATAGTGTTGCTACACAAGAAGAATATGGGACAGTTGTAGAAGAAGAAGCCTTCTACATGAATCAACAAGGAGGCGGTTTTAACAACTACATGAACCATCCCAATTTCTCTTATAGAAGCACCAACGTGGCTAACCCTCAGGATCAAGTCTATCCAATCACAAGCTGCTCAACAAAACTAAGGAACCAAACCTTTTGTTCCTTTCAACCAGCAGAACAACTTTGCTCCATGACCACCATTTCAGGGCGGTTTCAACAAGCTAACTTTCAGCCAAGACCAGCTTTTGTTCCACCAGGTTTTGGCAATACACAAACCTCTTCTAGCACTTAAGATGTTGATTTGAAGCAGATGATGCAACAGCTGTTGACTGGTCAAGCCAACACCACTATAGAGCTGCACAAGAAGTTTGTTGAAGTGCACAACAAGGTAGACGCCACTACTTGTGACCTGAATGGCAAGTTAGATGCTCTAAACCAAAGAGTCAAGTCTCTAGAAAGCAAAGGAGCATCATCTTCAAAACCTCAGAATCATTTACCAGGAAAAAGTGAAGCAAATCCTAAGGAATTCTGCCACTTGCTTGCTGAAGAGGATGAAGATGCTTCATTGGAAGACTTTGGCATTATGTTTCAAGAGATGCTGTTACATGTGGACATGTTAAAGGCTTAGTGTGGGGGGAATGTCATCAACGCCACCATTGATGATCAAGAGGCTGTTGATATCGTAGAGAAGTTCCTCCAAGGGCTAGATGAAAGCTTGAACAGAGAAGAAGAGCAAGAAAGAGCCGCAGAAGAGGCTGCTGAGAAGGAAGAGGCTGAGAAAGCCTTAGTTGCTCCAGAAGAAGAAGCCAAACCAGAGCTCGCTGAAGATGAAAAAGAGCTTGTAGAGACATACCATGCTTTGATGGTCTTGGCTAGAGAAAGTCCTGAAGACTTCAAGGAGTTGTATGATCGCCATGTGGGCAGCTCCTCAAGCAGGAATGAGAAGGGTAAAGCTCCTGAAGTTCAAGCTTATAAACCACCAATCCCTTACCCCACGATGCACTTTACAAAGGCTCAGATGGCAGTTTATTCAAAGTTCAGGAAAGACATACAAGACGCTGGAATAAAGCTTCCTCATGGCACCACTTTGCTTGAAGTGAAGGATCAAATCAGGTTCCTCAAAGAAGTCTTTGACAAGCGGGAAGTAGTGGAGCCAGTTCTAGAGAATGTGGGGGCTAATCTAAAGAGAAAAAAAGGAGCTGAAGACATTTACAAAGCTTCCCTATCCAGGAAAGTTTCTCATCACTTGTGAGCTTGAGATGCTAGACAATGTTGGAGCTTTCTGTGATTCAGGTTCAACTGTGAATGTCATATCTCTCCACTTAAGCCAAACCTTATGAATCAAGGAGTTGAAGCCTGCAAAGCCTCTAACACTTTTGTGGATAACACCCTAACAAGACCCTTGGGCATGGTAAAGGATTTCCCTTTGAAGATTGGGAATTGCTTGGTGCCAACAGATTTTGTGGTTATGGAGAAGACATATTCAAGAGAGGTGCCACTTCTACTAGGAACACCATTCTTGGCAACAGCAGGAGCTCAAGTAGACTTCAAGAGAGGCTCTATTATTTTGAAGAATGTTGATGAGTTCAAAGTCTACAAGATTGTGTCTCCTTCCATACCTTTTTGTGGAACAATTAATGAAGAAGGGAGTGAGCAACAACAACTTC